AGAGAAAACTTAAGAGAGAAATGGAGCAACCTGTGAGGAGTTTCTAAGCACTGTGGCAATACAAACAGCACGAACTGCAAAGGCTCAGAGAAGGATTCCAGAGAGGCAGCAAGCTCAAAGTCAAAAGGTGTGGTGAGAAGGTCACTCCTGGTAAGTGGCAAAGCAATCAATACAGGAGAAAAAAAAAGATTAACAGCTTAAGAGGCTCCAGTCCCTGGAAAGACTTAAATCGATGACTGGATGCTGGTTTCACAGAATACAAATACCACACAGCACCAGGTGTGCCAACTAGAATGACTTTGATGACTCCACTGAGGTCAACACAGTTGTAACAGCCTGTTCTGGGTTTGCATCTGGAACATCAAAGTACCACACAAACCCAAGGAATTAATCATCAGCCAAATGCCAGGCCAGGAATTTTATAATAATTCAAGCCTTTTTCAACAACCAAAGCAACTGTGCTCACATTCCAGACAGTCTCACATGAGTATTCCAGTAGGAAGAGAGAGGATGGCAGAAGCCACTCTCCCACCAGCACTGCTGGGTACTGCAGCTCCTGCAGCAGCTCAGGCTGCCAAGGGAAGGACTCCATGGGCACAGGCACTGTGCTACCAAGCTGATAGACATGTCCCACTGTGAGCATGCTGCTGTGTACATACAAAACATGGGAGACAAGTGACCACCAAGAAAGGGAGAAGCAGCAGGTGGGGAGCTAAAACTGTAGGCAGCAGCTGATGTAAAGTGGGAATCAAAAATCTCCCACTGCTGAGCACATGCCTTGAGAAGCAGAGTTCTGCCTCCCCTATACTCACACCCAGCCTGGCAACTTCCACAGGAACTGTGTTTATAGAAACTCAGGCCAGCGGCATCTTTGTGACACGCTCAGAGTGCTCTGCTCTAGATGAACAAGATCAATCCTTGCTATCACCTGTGGTGCACCAGGAATCCACCCACACTGCAGAAGGGGCTGCACTCACCTGTTGAAGTGCAGGCAGCAAGCAGAAATGCTCAGTTTGCCTCCTATATTAAACTTGCACTTTGTAGAGACTCAGTCTCACACTTCTACTTAGGATTTCAGAGTGGCAAAGCAGGAATATGGCAGCACAGGCCTTCCCTACTAAAATCTTGTGGTAATCACATATCCTCTGAACAGAGACATAGCTCTCCCAGGATTTTCCTAAGAAGCTGTGAGAAAGCTCAGAGAAAGAATTAAAACAATTACTATCTCAATCTCTGCACCTGGCAGGAAATCTGTTTGTGAAAGATGTTTACAAGAAGGACCAATAAGTGAAAGAAGACTAATAAGTGAGAGAAGGTTCCTAAAGGCCAATCAGGTCTTAGGTCCACCATTGTTTCTATAAGAACTGTAGATTTCTAATAATCAAGTGCCTTTTCATGTCTTCTGATGATGGAGTCTCTGTATCACCTTTGTCTGTCTCAGAAATCCCTTTGGTGATAAAACCTCAGCTTCATTTTAACACACCTGTTCCCTATCTTGTCCTGTCTCATCTAGGGAAGACAAGAATCTTGTCTTCCCTAGATGAGCTTCATGTCATGTTTTCTTCATCTCCCCCTTCCTCCAAACAATCTGCTGTTTGTGTGCCTCCAGGTTGTGCAGCATTTAGCAATGGCTGTGCCAGTAACACACTGTGAAAATGACCCTCCTGTCACTTCCCAACACCATGGCTCTCAAAATCAAGCATTTCTTGGTAACACTCTCAATATCAAGGAATAACAATCTCTGCTTTCTGCTCTCGAGGCACCATCATCCTTCCAAGGAACAGCTGGGATGGACACCATTTAAAATACCAGTAAGAGGAGGAAGAAGTACAGCTACAGCTGGGTTTGCCAGAACTGCCACTGGGAGCATTTGAGCTCTTGCTGTGACTCTGCCATGGCTCCTCTTTTGCTGTGCCTCAGCTTCTCACCACACTTGTTGCCACTGGATATCTGGATGGCAAACTCTTCTTTGCCATGTTGCAAATTTCAGCCCAGGACCTGAGAATCCCTGCTGTCACCCTGATTTTTTAAGATTTTCTAAGCCTTCTGATGTTTACATTCTTGTAATGAACTTTCTCACACACTTTCTGTAAATAACTTTTTGTTTTGCATTCTTTTATGGAAGAAGAAAAATTTGATGAACTGTTGATTTGTCCAGTGTCATTGGAGAGGTGGAACTTTCACCCTCCAATCCACTGTCACTTTTAAAAATCTATAAAAGTTGAAGTCGGAAAAATAAACTTTCCTTTTTTACCTTAAAACCAGCAGCAGCATGTCCGCATTGTGTTATTTCACCTCTTATAGTGACACCCAGCCACAGAGAGGATGATTTCAGAACATCCCAGCTGTCACAAAAGAAAGGATGAAGTGTGAAACTACTTATGTAGCCCTTTGAAGCAGGCTGAACCAGAGCAAACATTGAATAGGGCCAAGGCTCCTTCCTCCCCAGGCAGCAGTTTGTTCACATGCAGTGGTTCTAAGGCCTTCCACCCTGGAGTAACCTTGCTCATGGTTATCTCTGTACTGCTGACAGGGCAGCTGCCACTGAAATCACACATCCAAGCCCACTCTGCCCAAAATGCTGAGATGAGCACACAAAACATGGTATGGTGACCATTCAGGTGTGCTGGTGAAGGGAGCAGATGAAGCAGATCTCTAGAGCTAGAAGCTGCCACTTAAACAAAGCTACAGTTCTGACATCAGCCACACTAAGGAGACAAACCACAGAGACCACAATATGTGGCAGCACTTCTCTGCACCTGTCTGCAGCACAGCACAGCACATTTGACTCAAGCACTGCCAGAGCAGCAGTGGCTGCTGTGCACAGGATGAACCTTCCCAGCCCTTGCAGCAGCCCCTGGCCCATTCTCATTGTACTCAGAGGCACTTGCTGCAGAAAAGTGACTGCTGGTGCTCTGCTCACTGTCTGGGTTTGCAGGGGAAAGCAGCACAGCCAATCTGGTTTATCACACTGCAGCAGGGTGCTGAGTCCTGTCACCAAGCAGCAGATGAGATGAATGTCATAAAAGTGCCCCTGTGCTCACCAGAGCCTGGATGGACCACACTGAGATTGGCCAGCAGCTGCCAAGGAAAAGAAACAGAGAAGGACTGTGACATGATCCTCCACAGAACAACATCTGAAACTTCTGACACTGAATTCAAAGCATCTCAAAACATGTATGGAAGAGGAAATAGCCTGGAAACTGGATTAAACCTCTCTTGGTACCTCATTATCTTATTGAGTGTGAGAGAGAAACCTTCTTATTTGTGCATCAGGACTGTAGTTTAATAATATTTAAATACACTTTTTGGTAACTTTCCCAGACCAAAAACAAAAAAAAAGTCAATTCAAGTTTTGGCATGGTCTTCACTTGGGAAATGACTGCTCTATAACAGGGTGGGCTCTAGCAGCTTTATTATCCCACTCAGCAGAGGCACAAGTACTACCTCTAACAAGTCTGAAGCACACATGGTCCCTCTTACATTTCACAAGCAGGGAAGGAAGGATGTGCAAGTTCCCTACAGAAAGAAGTGCTGGAGTTCTTTGTCCCAGAAATGAAGACTGTGAGGAAATATGGAAACAGACTACCACATGGGAGGTGCTCTAAGGAGAGAGACAGCTGTTCTCCACCTCAGAAGTGCTCAGTTTAGTCACAGCAGAGCTGCCATGACAAAAGAAAACTTTCTAGCAGACAGAACCACAAAGCATGAGGACAGATTGCGTGCTGAAGTCCTAACCAGCAATGGGAGCCTCTGGGTCAGGCTGGGCAAACATTTGTCAGGAATGATGTAAGGCAAGTTGATGCTTACTTGGATGGGGAAATTGGGCTAGATCTCAGTCAAGTTCCCTTCCAAGCCATTTTGATCTATGGTCCTACACTGAGGAATTGAGTGCTGGCCAGTAATCCACACACACAGAGTCATGTGGGAGCCCAGAGATGCCCTGTGTCGCCCTAATGCAGTCCCTCTGTGTCTGTCAGCTCCTCCCACGGAAAGCAGCCTCAGCCCTACAAGAGCACAGGCTCAGCAGAGAATACTGTGAGGAGAAATGTTTGTCTCTAAGGTCCCTGTAAAATCCTTTCACCCCATATCTCAGGTGGAAACTGAGAGCACAGTCAGTGGTCTGGACACATGGACACTACACCAGAAGAATGGGATCTATCTCTGACCTCCAGCCCTAGGGGGGCTTTGGGCCTCCCATTCACAGCAGGAGGTACAACCCCACTCCTGTCTCAGCTGAGTCCCTTTCCAGCCTCACAAGCCCATTGTAGAAGTTCTGTTTCCCCAGCACAGGAACAGCCCCATTTGCAGCTGCACCTACACTCTGCCAACCGCAGGTCTGGCTCTCCCTGGGCCTGCACCTTGCCCGAAGTGGGAAGGCTGAGGCAGGAGTGTCTCCAGCATGCACACAGCTAAACTGGGACCGCAGCTCCACCTGCAGGGCTCTGCCAAAGCGGCTCCTCCTCGGGGAAGGGCAGCGTCACCCCAGCAGATACCGCACACTTGGTAACCCTCAAAACACAGATGTGAGCACAAACACAACCACGCTCCTCAGGGTCCTGAAAGCAAACAAAGTCCCCCTCTGACAGCATCACCTCAGGAATCAAATCACCATTTTGATACAGTTCCCAAGACCCAGTACATTCCCAGAAAATTCAGTGTATGTTAGATACTGGATGGTGCAGAATGCTGAGGGAAGCCTCAGCCTCTGTGGCTCCAGGAAGCAGCTCATGTGCCTGGGGCTCTGCCAGTGCCAGCTCGGCCTCCTGACCTCAGGCAGCACACACACGGCCCAGGGCTCCACAGCCAGGCCTCCAAAGAGCTTTGCAGTGCTTCTGCACCAAAAGGAGCCCAGGCCAATGTGTGTAAAGCACCAGGAACACACTGTACTACAGCAGCACATTCCCTTGGATGCGAGTCTGACAGGAACATCCAGCCTCCTGGGAGAACAGCAATTTTTCCTTTTATGAAAAGGTCAGCAGCACCATGTGATTTTCCAAGATATATAATCACTATGCAATGCAAATACATAGAAATGCAAGTGTTTTAGTGGTAAGAATAGGAATTTAACACTTGTCCTACTGGATTAGACCAATAGTCTGTCTTGCAGGGGATTTGTCCTGCTCAGTGCTTGGACAAGGGATTCACTGATGCTTCCAAGAAAAAGCACACTGCCTTCTGCAGCCCAGCCACTGGCACTCTTGTAGAGCCACCTAGCACCTGTCTGCTGCAGGGAACCAGCCCACCCTCTAAAGAATGCAGCATGATGCTGTTTAACACCCCCATCAGCCCATGGACTTTCCAGCTTTTAAGGCCTCCTGCAGAAGCAGGCTGTGCAGAATGCTCTGTTTCATACACAAACACTGCTAACACCCAGAAGAAATCTGAGAACTCATTTCTTTACATTTAATTTTTAAATAGAATCTGACAAACTGAATACCTCTAAATTACTATTAGGAAAAAGGCACAACCACACAAAATACCCTTTGACTGCACTTTGTACTCATGGCTCTGGGAGGCCAGAAATGAGCTGTACTGAAGTGCTATTTTCAAACCTTTGCTCAAGTGCACTTTAACTGACCTATTTTTGTTCTCTCCTTCCCTAGATTTCTTCTACTTTGTTTAACCAGGGCAGGCCAGAGAAGACTCAAAAATTCAAGTAAAGAGTGCACAGACATGGTAAACTACTGGAGTGGATAAATTAATGTGAGATGTACAATGGGTGAAAGGCAAGTCTGTGAACAGAGCTGTGAGCAGGGAAAGGTTCCAGCTGGAGCCCAAGTGCTGGTTCCTCAGAGAGAGCTCAGGTGTCTGTGGGAAAGCAGGGCTGATGTTCAGCAGTGAAGGGGATGGAGAAAACTCATCTGAGGAGTGAGAGTGTGGGAGAGGCAGAGGGGAAAGGGAACAGATGTGTCAGGGCTCATGTAACACCCTGTGACCCTGCTGCAGCCTTCCAACAGACTCAGCTTGCTGCTGCATGTCCTGCCTGATGCTCCTGGCTGTGCAGCCCCAGGCCAGCCTGGACAGAGCCTGGGAGCTCCTCCCTGGCACACACAGCAGGGCCCTGGCTGGATGCTCCCACCCCTCCTGAGTGCTCACCTCCACTGGCTCAGCAACTGCTTCCATCTGGCCTGGAAGAACAGACCCTTTCCTTGGCTTCTTTCCTTCCTTCCCTGGCTAGCTGTGCTCCAGAAGGGAACCTGCACCACTGCAAACAGCAGCAGCAGCAGCAGCTTGAATTTCATCCTGCCATTATTTACACTGACATGATGTTGACTGTCCACTTTGGGGACTTCTCTCAGAGCTGTTTCAGGCTGGCCTAGGCTGAGTCATCCTTCCCAGAGAGACAGAGCTCAGCTACTCCCACGCCTGTCAAGAGCCTGGGTCCTACTCCAAACTCAGCTTGTCAAACTTTCTGCAGGTCATTTCACCTCCTGTTTTTCAACTTCTCCATCTGCAAATGTGGAGTAGTGACTCTGGCCTTCTCTTTAAAGTGTTGCAATTAAATGCCTCATGTGGAATTTAGGCATTTCTATTACTATCAGAGCAATGTGTGGGTGCCAGATGTTTATTCAGGCCTGCCAGCATCTCTGAATAGCTGCAGTGAAATTCTTGTAAGGACCCTGGTCTGAAGCACTGTCTTTATTATAATGCGTTGACCATTTCTGGCAGCATCCACCAAATGTCAAAGGCTGTAAATTCAGGTGCTGTAAGATCCTTCAGAGACAATCACTCAGCAGGAGTGGGACACAAAGGCTGCTTTGCTATGGAGCATCAGGATCCTGGAACAGAACTGCATCTCAAATGTGCACAACAGTTATGTCCTGTTATACCTGCAAATCCATGTGCCAGTATAAGCCAGGATTTGAGCTTATCACCCCATCTGGTCACATTTTATATAAATGTATCTCAAGGCCAATTTAAAAAAATATAATTAAATTCTTTCTAGGCCAAATGGGTGATTTGGCACGTTGAGAAGTTGTATTTTTAATCTGGAGCTGTGAACCCTTCTATCTTAGGTCCTGAGATGATTGAGTCACTTTAGCAGAGCAGACTAAAAAGTTTCATGCAGTTCCCTGAGGAAGGTGGAACACTTCCACATGCTCAGCTGAACTTCTGCATCTCTGGATGAGGTCTGTGTCAGGATATGAGGGGTCTGTCACTGCATGAAAAGTCCAACACTCCAGGGAATGGAGATTCCTTTCACAAGGCAGGAGGAGTTTTCAACCAGCTGCTCAGCTGGGCTCAAGGGCAAAAAGCATCCTGCAGGGAGAGTTATGTCTGACAGTTGTCAGCTGCTTTGTTTCTGGATGTGCAGAAACCTAGGCCTGTGGAAAGAAGAAAGACCAGAGCTATAAGTCTTACTAGGGACAATGTGCCTCTACCTCCATCCTATAGGAGCAGTAATTTTCCAATGGCAATAACCCCACCAGAGCCAATCACCCCATCAGAAATGCTCACCTGGCTCAGAATTTCTGACTCAAACACTTGCCAGGCTGTTTCAGAATATCATCAGAAACTGAAATACAACCAGGGGAGCCCCTGTTTTGTCAAAGACTGCCTTCAGCTGTGAAGCTGCTCTGAGTTCACTCAATACATAAAGGTGCAGGGACCTTCAAAGGACACAAAACCTCCAAAAATGCAAAGGCAAAACAAGACTTACTTGCCACAAAAGTCCTTGTGAATGGCATGGAGGGTGAGCAGTAATTCTGGGTGTGCCTGTAGCCAGTGCTCCACCATATCTGGATGCCTGGGATCTACTTCCAGAAACACACTCCTGAAAAGGCACATTTGGGAGCAGAATTGGAGAGATGCACATTTAGGTTGCTAAACTGATGAAAATTAAGGTCTTTCTTTCTGTGTGACTCTGACCAGTGCAGGAAATTAAAAGGTCAGTAAACACAGTGCAGTCCAACAACCCCAAACCACATAGATCATAGCTGTCCACATAAGATGCAGATCCCAGCTGCCTCCCTCAGGAGAGAAAGTGTTGATCCTGGGGGGAATTCTCATGATACTGTGTGTGAGGAGTTAAAGTCTTGTATCAAGAAGTAATGAGCCCTTCTGAAGGTCACCCAGAGATTCCACCAGCCATCTGCTTCTGAAACCCCCAAAGATTTAAAGGCAGCATTTTTTTATGCTGCAGGAGCACTGAGCACTGGCCTGGCAGCCTGAAGTCCCTCTGTGTATGAGCAGCAAGAGACATGAAGAACAAGTCAGAACACACATTCTTCCACAGTAAATGTCTCCATAAATCAGTTATGAAAACAACACCAGCATTTAGGCCTACATGGAACTGACCAAATAACCTCAGTTAGGGCACCAGTACCAGGCCTGGGCACTGCAGGGCAATTTCCATCTCTGCCAGGCTTTATGACTGGCTCATTCCCTATGTTCCCTCCTGTGACAAAGCAGAACCACCCCAGCTCACAGGCACAGGGAGTCATGGAGCTGGTTATGGCCTGGGACACAGCAAGAGACACTTTAGCAGGCTAAGGACACAAGCCAAACCCCATCAAATGCTCTCCTGAGAACACTTAAAACATCCCACACTGAATACTCCCTACAAATTCACCAGGCTAAATACAAGCTGGGTGTGGATCTCATTTCTGACCTTAAAAAACTTCCACTCCTCGATGAGGGCTTGACCTTATTAAACAAACAAAAAGAGAAGGAAAAGAAATAGTCTCAAGAAACAACCCCACAGGACCAGTCTCTAATGCTGGGAAATTCTGAGGAGCATCTTCTTCTCTTGTGGTCATGCAAAGCATGAGGAATGAATTCTGCATGCACTATGCCTCTCAATATTCCCATTCTTCTTCTCAAAAGAGCAGATTTTCAATGACCTCTCTTATGGTGGCCAAATGTCAGGAATATTCAATGGGATGTGTGAATGCCCTGGCACATGAACACTACACCCAGACTTTTGGGTATCAGCATGGTGATCTTCAAAATGGATCCCATGTGACAGAGAATAGGAACAATCAGTCTTGAATATTCATCATGGAGAAATTTAACATTTAAGAAACTATCCCTGACTGATCTTCATTTTCCTGGGATATTCAGCATTCTATACTGGTACAACAAAGAAATTTCCCCTAATGAAAGGGTGGGAGGGAAGTGGGGATCTACATCTACCCTCAAAGAGATGTCCATTGCTTCTCCTTCCATCAGTTACTCATTTTAGAAAGTTCCCCTGCTTTCTGCACTCTCTTTCTTGGCTGTTCTCTTCCATGTTCTTTTTGTTGCTGCTTTCACTTTCAAGGATTCTCCCTTCACTAATGACCAGGAAATGCCACCAACAGCCAAGGAAAGGCTAACACCAATTTCAAGCTAATTTTGCTTGCACGCATGACATTTTAAAAACTATTACTAACTGGGGCAATGAGGGGACAATTGGCAACTATTTTCCCTCTGTTTTGTTTTCATACAGGAAGTACAGAATTTACAGAATGGATGAATAAAAGACGTGAAATTCAAAATATGATAGTGCTTACCCAGAAACCTTGAGAAGAGAAGGAGCCAAAGACAGAATTGTTTTGATGATTCTCATGCCATCATCTCCCCCATCCAGGGCATCAAGGTCCTCATAGCTGGAGTATGGGAAGAAAAAGACATTTACAGCAATTCCTGCATCACTCCACAAAGAAAGGTGCACCTGCCACACCTGAACTGCAGCACCCCCAAAGCAGGGGATGGCACTCACTCACTTCAGTGGGAAACACAGGGAGGGAGAAGCAGCTACCACTGGGCTGAGAAACCCCACATTCAGCACAAGGAGAAAACATCCCCTGAAGTATTTCTGAAAGTTAGGATCCAACTGTAGCTGGGATCCAACACATAGTCTGTTCTCTCTAAGCTGGCCAGAGAGCAAAGGTGTTGGGCAGCAAGGGCTTGACTGATCCATGCCAGACAGCAGCTCAGGCTGTGGCTGGCCCAGCAGAGCCAGCTGGGATGCAGAAAGCTCAGCTGCCAGAACCTGCTCTGGTGCACATCTTGTACAGAGGTGGGGACAGGACTTTCTTCTCACATGCATGACAATTAGTTTTGGATTGGGAACTTGCTAATTTCAAACTGCGTACTTTTTCTATTTTAAGAAATCTTCCATGTTGCTTCAGGCATGTAAGCAGTATGAAAGCAAGGCTGTGTTATTATATTCCAAATAAACACACCTATATTTTGCATGTGTATATTACATTTGCACATTTTGTGTGCAACTGTGTGTAGTACAGGAAGCAGACAGAAAACCTTGCTTCAAGGAACAGGAGAGGAAAAATCTCTTTGTTTGATTACCAGAGGATTTCTGCATCCAAGGAAGCCATGTCTTCATGGAAAACATATGGGGGGTTACTGACTATGACATCTATGGGGCCCCAGAGCAACAGCTGTTTGGCAGAACCTAGGAAAGAAAAAGAATCACAAGCAGCTCTCAACCACAGCATCTTCCCTATAAGCTCAGTGTAAAGATCCTCCCCAGGAAACTGTCTCCAGGCACACAGAAATGTGTTTGACTCTGCTTTGTGATCATAAAATTTTATCCTATTTCTTTCTGCAATGGTGTGCCTTGCTCCCTGTCTCAGGAGTGCAAGAGTGATACAAAGGAAAGCACAGATGAAGTATCATTTTTTCATATCAAGAGCCTGCTTAACAAAACATGTTAAAAAGCACAGGAGCTTGATGCCCTGGGACTCTGTGCCCACTGGGATCTAAAGCAGCAACCAGAACTCAGAGAGCCCACAAAGGCCTAAGTGGGAGCTTAGACTGGCTGTCCAGGGGAACATCCCTCCTCTTACAGAGCTGCAGCAGGACCTCCAACGAGCTGCAGAGCCAGGGCCCCTCAGCAAAAACAGCAATGGGCTGCTCTCATGCAGACCAGGAGCAGCTCCCTACACTCCTGCTCTGTCTGACACAGGCCAGCCCTGAATCAGAGCTGATGGAACCATGTGAGTGTGGCACTGTCCTTGGGCAGCCTCTTGGCACAGGGCTTTCAGCTCTAAGAGGCAGCAGAGTGTCAGAAAGGTGTGCTAATGAACCACAGTGCTGCAGCTCCTGCCTCCACAGCTGCTGACAAACAGCCAAGCACCATCGACCTAACTGGACAGGCCCCACCAAACGCTAGTTTTAACTGGTTTCAGCTGGCTCTGGGGAAGAAAAGCATCCTTTCCTGGTTCAACTAGCCTAATTTCAGGTTAATATGGTTGGGCATTTGATCTAAGCTAAATATATGGGCTCCCTCTACCATCAATGGAGGGACAGACATGCAGATGTTTATCTAAAGCCTCCATGTCAGCATGGAATGAATTACACTCTTTATATATTTGCCTCTCCCCAGCAACAGTAAAGAGCACCTGGACTCCCAGCTCAGATACAACCTTGGGACACCTAAACCAGGAAAAATTCACTTTCTGATACAATTAGGGACTTGTGTCAGCTGATCATCTGCCCTGGAAATCTCTGCAGGGAAAAGCTTCACTGGCTCACTTCTTATTGACCTTTTTCTCTATTAACTTCAACACTCTTCTGCTGCCTGCATCCCAGAATGATTCTTTGGCTGCCTCTCATGCCTCCCTCCACCCATCAAAGACAAAAAGGGAAGAAGACAAAGGGGATTATAAGAGTGAAAAGAGTTACTGTGTGAAACATCTCGATGGATGATGTGAATCCTTTCTTGGAGTTGCAACCTGTAAAATTCCAGATGCAAGATGCAACAACAGAAAGAAGAAAGATTAGGAAGTGTATTTGTGTTCATGAGCAATACATTCTACAAACAGATCATTAAATATTGCACCTCTTATCTGACACACATACATTCACAGCTGCCAAGATCCTCCCAGCATATTCTCTCCTCCCACCACAGGGGCCTCACACCCAAGTTCTACTCCCTCTGCTGAGGGCATCAGGAAAGGGAGGGATTCCTGCACTGTGTGCCATGTGCCCAGATGGATCTGGCACTGGGATTGATCCAGTAAGACTCATCTAAGCATCCAGAGAGCACAGCTGGGATAAGGGAGCTCTGAAAAGCAGGCAGGATCTAAGCTGGGTTCAGTCAAGCAGTAACACAGCTTATCCTGCTAGCTTCTCTCCCAAGAGCTACAGGGCACCATGCCAGGGACAAGAACACAAAGACACAATGAAAATATCCATGGAGAAATATTTAGCTCTCTGACATGGCATTTATACTCCCTCATCCACTCTTGAGCCAAGAAGCAATGTTAATAAGCAAGATGATTTTCCCCAGAGGCCAGAGTTACAGTTTATCAAGGAGACAAAGATCTGGCCAGCTTTTATTATATCTATGAAAAATTGCAACAGAATTTGGTTTGACACTGACACATTAGGAAGAAACCTCTGCTCCTCACTCTCTGTAACTGGGCTAGGAGGCAAAGGGTAACAGTGAGGTACCAGTTTGGGAAGGGCTTGTTCTTACTCAGCTCTTCAGACTCACACACAAGCTGAGACTTGCAAGAAGTGAAGAAATGCAGCCCAGTGCAGCCAGAACCAGAAGTAGCCCCCCCAGTGCTGGCAGCAGCTTGGGAAAAGAGGGGTTTGTGGGTCTGTGCACAGAAATCCCAGTTAATGAGCACCTCTTGAGACTCACAGCTGTACTGGACTCCATGAGAAATAGCAACAGGAATTTTTTCTGAGATGGCTCTAATGAATGCCTAGGGCCCAGCAGTTACTGAGGATGTGAATGCAATCTGGAGCTCATTTGACAAAGCCTACAGAGACTCAGAAGCATAGTGGGATTCCAGCTCTGGGGGTCCCTGTGCTAGTGACAGTCCAGAACAACCTGACAGAAGAACCAGCTGAGGAAGTGGAGCTCTAGGAAGGACAAGGACAACCTGACAGACATCTCTCTGACTTCAGCACAAGGTGTTTGAGCCAGCAGCTCTGAACATCCATCCTGCCACAGCACAGGTGCCTGAACTGCATGGGATCCAGCAGCACAATTCCCACCAAACCAAGACTGCAGGGAGGATGCTGAGGGACACCAGGCAGCACATCAGAGGAAAAGTGCTACTTGACTGTGCAAGCATTTCTGGAGGAGCAAGGACAGAAACAAGCACAACAATAATGATTGAGGGAGCCAGAGAGAGAAAGGCTCAGGATATACTTGTCCTTAACCTTCTAAGTGACATAAACATTCCTACTTCAGTCCTGAGCTTCCTGAGTGCACAGACAGGAGTAAGAATAGCTACCAAAAACCACTCTGAAAACCCTTGACAAACAGCACGTGAGTACCACTGCATTATTTAGGCTGCTGTCTTTGCAAAGCATGTTCACAAGCCAAAGAAATACACTCTGGTAAACACAAGCTTTCTTTTTTCCTAAATTGTTACACACTTTGAGAGCTCAACAATTAAACAGTCTCTGGTTTCCAGTGGTGATAAACATGAAACACGTGTACAAGTATTGACAACTCTTGGTCTTTCTCAAGCAACAATTATGAAAAAAATGAGTAATATGTGCTCTTGTACCTATGTGCATTCTCCCTGGTGAGATCCACAGCAGCCTCCTCTTTGTCCATGGCTATGACTCTGCTCTGGAACAGAAAAAGACAACAAATCCACCAAGCAGGTGTTATAACATCAAGAATCCTGAGCAGACATGCTCTGCCAAACATGCAAGATCAAAACTGCCAAGAGACTGCTCACTCTTGGCTCCTGACAGGAACAGCTCCTGAGGAATGCATGCAGGCATAGCTGGGATCACAGTGATGTGTGTGAAGCACTGAGGTGACTGGAGCTCTCTACAGCACAGCCAGCAGCCCACCAGAACAGACAAGAACAGAGCCCCAGTGACTCACTTCACTGACCCCTCACTGCTCCTGGCAGGGTGAGACTCAGAACTCTGGCCAGTCTGGGCAAGGCACAGCCTGCTGGGAGGTCATGTTGGTGGATTTATCCTTCCTAGCACAGACAGGATCCCTCCTGACACTAACACAACCACTTGGACACAGGTTCTGGCATTTTCCATCTGTTATGCAGACACCTTTTACCCAGTTACTCAACTGCAGTCCTTAAACAGATTCACTGCCTGTATTGACTGCACGTACTTGACAGTGTGTCAGGCATTTAAAAGCTCTCCAGCATAATGGTAAGAGACAGGGCCCCACAAAGAGAGATTTGTTTGACCTTCAATTCCACCTTGGGAAAACCACAAAGGCCTACCTTGGTTTTGCTATGCTTGATGTTTTTTTAAGCACAGATGTTGGTAGGATTTACACAGAGGACACATGCTTGAAGAACCTGCTTGGCATTTGGAGATGATGGAATGATTTGCCATCAATCCTAAGGGGATTAATTTCGTGGTCCCAGGCCAGCACCCACACACATGAAGCTCACCCTTAAGGTGAAGGGCACAGCTGAGACCATAAATGAAAAACTGCTGCTGTTTTCTCAGTACCTTAGTGCCAAATTCTGCCTCAAACACTAAGGAGATTACCCAGAGTGTAACTCCACTTAGCTGTCAGTGTGGCTACCACTAATTCTAATCAGTCAAGGCTCCTTATTTCCCTGGGTACAGCAGTTTGGGCTGGGAAAGGACTGTCATGAAGAATTACAGAGACAGACTGATGCAGCTCTTTAAATTACCAAGCAAGGAAAAGAGCATGAAGCTCTTCTCCCAGCTCAGGAAACCAGAGCAATTATACTCTGAAGTCATGAAGCTCAAATATTAACCTTCTCAGGTCACTGGGAGGAGGAACACCCCTTCCATTAGAGGCATCAGCCTCTAATTCTTCCACAGCAGGGCTTATACTTCTACAAGAGGAGGGGCTGGCCACAGCAATTCTCATTCTTGAGAAGGAACTGCCTGGTCTGCAGCACTCAGGAGAGGGGAATATTTTTCCCTTGAGCACAGGCAATGAGATCTTGGATTCCTTTCTCGTTTTCTTGACCAAGAGTATCTCCATAAACCTGTGACACACCACAAGAATCAGGGCAAGAAGGGCTTTGGGCACCCAGATCTCAGTCCCCTCCTGCTTTTTTGACTCTTGGGTTGTTACTAGGGAACAGAAAACTACAAAAACATGTGGTTTGGCAGTTGTGGCAGTGAGATTTGCTTGTCTTTTTGATCCCAAGTACTGACACTGCTATGGTAAATCCCTTTCCTGTATCATTTAGTCTTCAGTTTCCTAGAGACCAGATCTTCTGATTCATAGCAAGGTGGTTTTTAGAGATGACTGCCCCATAAATTCAACAAATAGAGTGTGTGCCCATGTCTCAGTCCAGGTTAGTATCTTAAACCAACACCCACCAGTGCTTCAAGGTAAGGTGATTATTAGTGAGCTGCAGCAGCTCAGAATGAGCACTTCACTTATTTCATTCTGATTATGCCTTTGCTATTCCTGCAGACAGATGGGGACCGGGAGAAATTCCCAAATATCCCTCCTCTACCTAGCAGGAACTTACAGAGCCTGTCAGAGACCTGAGCTGCCAAAGTGCCTTCAGAGAAGTCTGTGACATCTCAGTGAAGATGAGCAGAGTGGGATTGTCCTCTAACACAGGCATCTATTGCACCAGGAGCACTGAAGGGAGCTCACCTGTGGCAGTTTACAGAGCAGACTCAGAGCAATTGCTCCAGAGCCACAGCCAATTTCCAGGATCACAGGACGAGGAACAGGAACTGGGAAACAGAGGGCTGAATTCTCACATTTCTGAAATTCTTCCTCCACAACTAAAGAGACAAGGTCCTAAGAAAACAAACAAACAAAATTACTAAGGGAGCTGTTTTGACTCACACCTTTGTGATCTGAAGACTGAAGTTTAAATTTCTTAACTCTGTACCCAATGTATTTTTGTTGCTAATTTTAAAAACACAGATGGCAGTAATGGAACTGACATGCCAGAAGTCACTTCAGCTCCATCTGCCTCACAGGGTGCTTTGATTAGTGACCAAATCCTCAGGATACAATCTCCCACAGATCCTCTGAAATCTTCTAGCACTGTTGGGAAAAACAATAACCAGACAGCTGGAGCACATTATCTTCTGCAACACCATTTACTCCAAGATTTTGGCTTTCAGAATTTGTAAGCTTCAAAACTCAAGATTTCTACACAGTCTCAGTACAGTAGGTGACCAGGAGGCAGTTGCACAGCTCCTGATAGCATCTGAACCAATCCAACCTGCAGATGAAAAGTCAAGGCAATGAGTTACTAAATGATCCAATGAGCAGCTCCCTGCATAGATTTCAGATTGTGGACTCCTACTACATTTTGTTGCTATAAAGTCACATGGAAAAGATTTTTATCCATGCTCCTGGATCTGTATGCAGTTCTGCCATGTCTGCCTCCTCCCTCACGTCAATCTTTTCTTTTTTAAATCCCTTTGCCATGTTATATAAAATCCAATACAGCAGGAGAGGTCTCAAAGATTTCTAAGGTTTGTGAAAATGAGATAAAAGAGAAAGCACACATGTGCCTCCCTCTGACTGCAGCATGAACTTCCTTTGTTATTCACTGGAGAAAACTGTAAGATGGAAACCTTATGAACACTGAGTGCATCAACAGCTCAGCAGTGCCCTCAGCTCCCTCCCATCCTTGTGCTTCCAGGGCACAACAGCACACACAGGCCTTCTGCCCTAGGTGTTCCCTAGGATTCTCTGCTTGAGAGGGCTGCTCTTGGATCGCTCCTGTAAATCCAGAAAGTTTAACAACATTTACAAAAAATAACTGGCATAAGCTGGAATGTTTAAAAGGAACAAGTCCTGGCAGGCAGGTCAGCTTCTCTGTTAGTTTACAATGGCTTTTGTCAGAAGCCTGAACTGGACAGGCTTGTGCATAAGGGCAGAAGCCTCTCCTTGGATCTCTCATCCTCACTGGGGCACAGAAAAAGAGATGCCTTGTGCAAAGCTGCAGTACCTCTGAAGAGATTCACACATTCTTCAGGACAGGCCACTCCACATGTGCAGTAAGTGGGAAGGGAGATGCAAACAGGTACAAAAATGAAGCATTCAGGTAGATGAGCTTTGTTGAACCATCCCTGGAGCAGGCAAGTTTGGGGACTGATATCTGAATATATTCAGCCAGGTATGAGGAGCCACATGCCCTGCCCTGGTCACCATGTCATTACTGGCATTGCCCTCATATGGAAGTTTTTCCAAGAGCCTCCAAAATCCCAAATTCCTCACTGCTGCTCTGGGATTCCTTCCCTAGACAATTATAGATGAAAACAGTCTCACAGGCTCCCAACCTGGAGGAAACTATTACAGGACTCAGACAGCAAAAGGGAAAAATAAACACCAGAGCTCCCCACTTCTGTGAGAAGAGGCTTTGGCCATTCAAACAGCTCCAGATGAATCAGCCTGAAAAGACTCAGGCACTGCAGACAGCCAGAGACTGCAGCTACAGCTTCCTTTGGCAGAGCAGGTGGGGCGCTGAGGATTCCAAGACCACAGAAGAAAAGGCACACAAAAAAATCTGCTTGGCTATTAAATCACTTCTTTAAATACCAGCCATTTCTGGACACTTACAAACATTTCCTGGAAATCTCCACAGTAACTCAGAACCATCTGTTCCCAGAGTAGCACAAGTTAGTGATTACAAATGTCCAAATATGACTTCCATACACTAGGACTATTCTAACCATTTATTAACTTCCTTAAGGTTTCTCATTAGTAATTTCAAGCTTGATGGGTTTGAATGGAATGCCTCCTTTACACATTCCACAGTGAAAGCATTTTAGTGTGCTTGCCAAAGCTCCTATTTAAACATGACTGATTTCAGGTTTTACCACATAAAATACAAATAAAATGAGACATTGATATTACTTAGGCTTTGAGTCCTGCTTTCTGACTGCCTTACCTCATTGTCTTGGTTATTTCTTTTCAATTCTTACTGAGGCAAAGGCTGGTTTTCTCATAATACACATTTACTATAATAGTGCAAAAGTAAAAGACATAAAAATAATGGGACAACCTAAAGGAATGGCATCATTTTCCAGACATTAGTACCTCACTACAATAAAAGGCTGAATAATTATTTTCAACCTGATTGACTAGCAAAGAAGATGTATTCTAAGTGGCAATTAGGAAAATCCAGCAATCATGACACAGAGTATGTCCAGTCATCCCACTCCCATTGCCACTAGGTTTCAGGAATGATTAAATTATCAAAAATTGCTTTGAAACCATATTCATCAGATTCTTCTCAGTATTTTTCACCTTCTAGCAAACGACACAGCCAAAATCTGAACTTCTCCAATCACACCATCACCTCCAAAATATCACCATTGGAAATTGATAAATTACAGCACTTTGCAGAACACAGCAGAGCCCCTTTCAAGTCTCATCTTGGGAGATGAAGTATTTCTGGCTGAGTATTACAGTGTTCACACAAAGACTACAAAATAGACAAGTCAGACATTCCCAGCCTTTGCACAAGAATCCTACTGGAACCACAATGAGGGAAAAGCAACAAAGAGGCTGATGGTGCTAAAAAGAGGTGCCTGGGAGTGGCACAGAGAAACTGGGACTGGGACAACTGCAACTGGCCAAAGGCTGGGATCTTGACTGAGTAGGATACGCCATGTCTTCTCAGACTGAACAGATTCAGAGCACAAACACCTGCTAATGCAATGCCAACATTACCAAAAAGCCATTTTAACCATCAGTTTCATCACCAGCTTTGAAGGCTGAGATATGAAGTTACAGAAATTCCAGTGGGAAATAAACAAAAACACTTTATGACCCAATTCCATATTTGCTTACAGCATGCTAATCACTGGATAGAATGAACTCTCAATTGTGGAGTTATTAACATTCAAATTATTGCTTACAGTGTGAGTCATTATTGTCAGTTACAACCCAACCTACAACAAAAAAAATTCTGCTAACCAGTACTACAGGTACTGCAGAACTACTTTCATCCTGGAGCCTGGTATCAGACACGTGGTTATCAGTGTGATAATTGTGTCAGAATGGGGAAATGAACATTTTGAAGAATTTTTCTCCTCTAGTCTTTGCAAGAAGCTCCTTCCTGCAGCAAAAGTCAGTTTTGGAAGGAGTGAAGGGACTGAATGGCAAACAGACAGAACCAGAAAGACCCTAAAATCCTCTGCCTGCTTTTGCTAGCAATGGCAGCAAGGTGAAAGGGAAGGAAGGTCCCCTACATGGTTTGGGCAGCCCCATGATAGAGCTGGTAACACCTGCACATTTCATTCCATACACAGATGAGCAGAGGTGTTGAAACAGCCAGGACAAAGAGACAGAAGTCACATGGAAAAGTGGATTCAGTAGCTCCTTGAATTTTTTCCTTGAAGCAAATCTTATGTATGGCCATAAACTAAAACACAAGAAGTTTCAGCTCAACATGAGGAAAAACTTCTTTACATTGATCGTGACAGAGCACTGGAACAGCTGCCCAGGGAAGGCACAAAGTCTCCCCTTTGGAGATGTTCCAACCCCCCCCGGACACAATCCTGTGTCACCTGCAGCAGGTGACCCTGCCTTGGCAGGGGGATTGGGGCCGGATGATCTGCAGAGGTTCCTTCCAACCCCAATTGTTCTGTCATTCTGTGATTACCCTGTGCTTACATGTACAGGGGACACAAATATTTGCTTCTCATGCTACCTAACTTCCAGCACTCAAGAGGCTGTCAAGTTTTTGTCCCTTAGCCAAACCACTCACAGGCTGTTCTCACCTTGTGGTTCCAGGAAATCTTGCTTCACTGCCAGATTCACCCTAAGTTCACACTGTCCTTTATTTGGACTCCACCCCCCACCTTCTCTTTGAGTGCAACAAATGCAAAACTTTGTGAACACCTCCAGCTTCCCCTGAGCCTCTGCCTCACCCTTCCACCCACAAGTGTGGTTCCCCAAGGCCCCCAGCACCCTCTCTGCTCTCACAGGCTCTTGGTGTCACCTCTGCCCTGTGGCCAGGGCTCTGGTTCACTGCATTTCTTGGAACTGCAGCTGCACAAAGCAGTGAGAGGCCAGGGGCTGCCAGCACCCAAAGCACAGAGGCTGCACAGCTGCAGCCCAGGCAGAACCAGCACAGGCTCAGCTGGGTTCCAGCCCTGAGACAGTCAGGAGGAGGCAGCAGAGGCTCCTGGGCTCAAGGCTGGCTGCAGAGCCGAGCACAGGGACAGAGCTGAGGGGATCCTCTGCTCCAGCCCAGCACCTGGGAAGGGCCCATCAGATGTTTTTGCCATCAAAAAGGACAAACTAACTAAATAAAACAAGAGGAAGTGAGGAACAGGAAAGGCAAGGGTGGAAGTCACAAACTGCTACTGCATTCCCTACAAACACCCTTTTTCCGTGCCCCAGGGGAAAGCAGGGAAGACAAAGTTCCAGGGGTAAGAGCCAGGGTGGCAGGAGACTCTAAATTCCCAGGTCACTAAGCTGAAGAAGGAAAGCAAAAAAAAACCCAGGAAAACCCTGATAACCTTCTCTCTGCTCTCTCTCACTTCCTGGGAATGTTTCACTTATCTGTGCGCTTCCCAGAAACTTCTATTCTCAGAATCCAGGACTTTCCATAGAACCTGATCTGATATTAACCCAATCACCTCTCCCATCTTGTTTGCCCACTTGGCTCCCAATCAGCACATGACAAACACCAGGAAGCCAAGCTGGAAACCCAACTCCATGGCAATGGCCCTAGAAAATCCCTGCCAGTCCCACTTCCAAAACCAAGCCATCAAACCAGCCCACTGCTTCATGGGCAGGCAGGGCTTTTGTCCTGGGCTCTTCTGCCT